AGAGAGAGAGAGAGAGAGAGAGAGAGAGAGAGAGAGAGAGAGAGAGAGAGAGAGAGAGAGAGAGAGAGAGGCTGGTGGTCACCCACTTCTTTGGCCAACCTCCTTGGTTCCTGCCGCTCCGACCGCTGCTGCCTGATGCCTTCTGCTGCTGCCGCTGCGTGATGCCCGCTGCCACTGTCGGTCCCTGCAGAGCACCAGGAACGGCAGGATGACAACAACAGGTGAGGACCACCTAAAGGTCATGTAGGCTAGACATCGACTTCAAAGGATGATGGGCTGCACCTGGCGGGGTGGCGCCTGGCCAACTTCAACTGAAGTCGAACTCAAAGTTGGCCACCGCTCCCACCCAAAAAAAAATTACGGCCTTGGCGCGGCTCGAAAATATGTTTGCACAGGTCGGTAACCATTTTCCGTGAAGGCAGGAAGGGACGTTTATTTATTTTTTAAAAGCAAGGGACGTTTCAGGCCTCCCCCCAACTTTTTTTTTTCTTTTTCTGGAGGCCCTTATTTCTCGTCTTGCAGCCCACGGGTTTCGTGCGCAATGTGCTGTGCACCGCCTGTGCGTGACTGCCGTGCATGTGATGCACCGCTAGTATGGTATATATTGTCACATGGAACTGCCTGGTGAACCAAAGGTGGATTGGCAGGAAAGGACAAGAAACAGGAGACTGTAACAAACTGTTTATTACAGACTTGCACCATCAGCAGCCTGTGATGTTATGTATGACTACAGCTCTCTGATCACTTTAGCGGCACCTCATTTCACCACGAGTGTCGGCAGGTAACCATCCAAGAAGACACCAAGTTTGATCACAACAACCTGGAGATTAAGCACAGTGCTGAAGGCTAAGTGCCCAATTCCCAGCCTACTCCCGAAGGCTAACTGCCCAATACCCATCCCACTGCTGAAGGCTAACTGCCCAATACCCCAAGGCTGAAAGATATGGTTACTTCCAAGAGTGAGTCCTCAACTCTGATCGCCCAACCCAAACAAGTCAACCCTTGTTCACTTAACTCTCAATTTCCGGATAACGGTTTCGTGGGGAAGATGGTACGACATTATTGTTGGAGCGAAGTGACCCTGCCCAGGAAACCCAGGCAGGGTAAAAATGGGGCGAGGGGGCCTATTTGATTTTTATTTTTTTTTAATAAACAAATAGCATGCTTTATTATATATGGAACAAAAGGAGGCCGGGAATCCCTCCACATCTCAACCCGGAAGACTGGGGCCATTACCCAGATTTGGCTCTTACTGGAACCCGGGTCCAGTGTCCCTTTCTCCTGTCGATCTACATGCTATTCCTGAACAAAAGACAAATAGCAATAAACGAAAGATCCTTCCCTCTCTCTTTCCACCTGTTCTCATCTTCTTAAGCCCTAAAACCAAAAGCTTTGGTCTGTCTTTCACATTACCTTCGGCACCTAAACCTCTCTGTTCGTCCTTCTTAAAACCTAAACCGTACTGTCCCAAGTGACGTGGAGATCGAGTCCCTATTTACAAGAAACCCTACTCTTCTGAGTCAACTAAGCTGGGCCTATTTGAATGTGAGATAATTATTTTTTGAGTTTTTTGAATTTTTGTTTCTTTTGATCCACCATTACCTTTCCCTGGCAACGGAGGCCAAAGAGTTCATTCACAACCGCGCTCTTTGGATGAACAGTGCTACTGTACCAAAATGGCTGGCAGTGCCATCAGAAAAAGTAAAGAAAACGCACCTGTGGCGGTTTGTTTTTTCTTTGGTGCACAGTGGAAATCCACATCAGGAAAAGGAGGCTCGGAGGTAGGGGTGGCTTAAGATTTTGCTGTGGGATTGTGCAGCACCTTTCACTCAAGGGTGATCTGTGTGGGTGGCAAGACGATATGCAGGGAGAAGGGGGTGGGGTGGGCCACTCGGCTGGTAGAGCAGGTTTAAACCACTCAGCCCCTCACCAGCTAGAAGGTATGTGCATTCTGGTATTGAAATTGAATTCAATTAATTCCTTTTTTTTCATTCCTGTGTTTTTTGTTTTATGTTACGCTTCTCACAGGTCTAAAAGTAAGGGAAACAAACGAGGCCCACGTGACTGATGGAGTCAATTGCCACTCTTTCTCTGAAACAGGACCCTGCATGTCGCATTCGCTTGAAAGACATTCAAAGTCATCCCTTCTTGAGGAGTGCAGCGGTAGGGGGAGATGATCTTCGGCAGCAGTCTCCTGAGTTTGCAACCTGTGTGGTCAGTGTTCCAGATCGTCATACGGATGTGTCAAGCTTGCCAAGTACTGCACCCAATCAGGAATTGTCCCATAAACCTGGAGCAATTGTTGTCGACACTATTCATACAAGTTCGGCGGACGAGAAGATAGGGAGGGAATCGATGCATTGTGATGCATTCAGTACCTCAGGCATGCATGGTAATGAGCCGAATAACATTGCTGGAAGTTACAGTGACCAGTCGAAGTCGATGTTCTTGGATGTGGCCGATGATGATGCTGCAGAAGAATGGGGCCATGGGATGGTACTGCCTTGTGGCTTTGAGAAGAGAATCAAAGTCCCTGTGCCAGCGTCTGCTCTATCATCTCGGGCCACCCTCCCAAGTTGTCCACTATGCACTGAACGACTAAAACCCCAGACACACCAGACATCATATGGCTGGATCGGGATTCTGGCAGATGGCCAGGTATGCATAGCTCATGAAGATGATACTGAGAAGGACTCATCTGAGAACAATGGAGCAGAAGCTGAAAGGCAGGTGTGCGGCATGGGAAAGACCAGGAAGGAGTTGGGAGCCTTTTCTTGCGGAGCAATAGAGAGGCAGTGGATGGGAGGGGCGAGAGAGGAAGGAGATGGAGACAACAGACGAGGCAAGAGGGATGGGGGGGCTGCAAGGAGCCGTACAATCCACACACTGTTCTTTGTATCGAGAGATGGGTTGGAGGTGCGCATGGAGCAAGCTGGGAGGCCGTCCTGTTCCTACAGATTTCCTTCCTTGCCAGGGTCTCTTGTTCCTTACTATGCGCATGCAGCTGCCTTCATCACTCTGGTGGCCTCTTATACACCAAAGGTAAACCCTCCGCAGCATCTTGCAGAGCATCATAGTTTACTGAACACTGGAGTTCCTGTCATCACTAATTGAATATCTTGCTTGTCAGTGAAGCCTTTTTATTCATGTGATTCCACAAGGCCTCAAACTCATAATCTGTTTACCAATAGTAACATGTGCGTACCTTTCAGCCATATTGGTGGGGTGCCTATCGCTAAGTTTTTTTTTTTTTTTTTTTGAGAGCAAAGCGTCACGGTTCTGGCTCCTTTTCCGTTCTGGGGAGCATCAGTCCGGTTTCTACTCCGCCGGCAAATCAGAAAGGATTACAAAGAGTACTCACGCATGCTCCTCCCCCTTATAGTGGGAAGGCCCAAAGGATGACATTGATTACGTCCTGGAGGAAGGATATACCGCCCCTCACCACTGCCTAAGTTAGCCTGTTCTACTTTGCTTCTGGCCTTAGATAAGAGTCTGGCTTCCCTGCTGCCTTGTGAATGGATTCACACTGCAAGCTTTCCCAGTCCCGGTTACAGGGTCCTACATCATCCCAGTCCCAGGCCCCCGTCGATTAGAATCTTAGGGCCTGTAGGATCAGGCGTCGCAGGCCGGTTGGCTACAGTACCGTACAATACCTGTAGGAGCATTTCAAGTCCCCAAAAAGTACAATTTTGCAGCAGCCTCACAAGAAAGTTGGGAACTTTCCCAAAATAGCATTTTGGCAAGGCAGAGGCCGAAGGAGGCCAGTACCGATTGAAGCAGGAACGAAACAGTCCACTGCAACTATATATCTTGGACTACAGTGCCAAAAGGGTCACTTGTTCATTTCGCAGAATTGTGGAAGCGTTGCGAGAGCTTGTGCGATCAAGCGACCTGGACGAAGGAGCACAAGGGGGGAGAAGTGCGCAGTGCCTGGCTGCTACAGTCAGCCATAGCCAGGCGAGAGTGGAGAGGTTCCCCAGTGGCCATAGCCACCCAGGATCAGTAAGGCACACCGTAGTAGCATTCAGGGTAGATCTAGGACGTCGAGAGAGGAACAGTCAGTGAGGAACAGTGAGGGAGGAACAGTGCAAGAGAGAGAGAGAAAGAGACTATCGAGAGAGACAGGGAAAGAAAGAAAGAGAGAAGAGAAGCAGCCGAGGGAGGAGGAAGTTGGTTACATACCTGAGGCTTGTTGCAGCGGTTCAAACCGCTGATTCTCAAACTTTTCCAATTATATATTATTGCACCTTGAGTGGAACTTCGAATTTGCACTGTTCATGGACATCACTCCAGCTTGTGTGAACTTCATCTGATTGCTCTCAATTTGCATGTTATATTCTAAGATTGAATCTTGAGAGGTTCATTTCACTTGGTTGGAACCTACTTGCTTGGGCCTCATTCAGTCTGTTCCTCTGAGCTCCATAGCTGTCGGAATTTCCTTTAATCGACAGAACTGTTGGTTTGGCCCTTTGGCTGAACTCTCTTCGGAAACCCTAAACCCTCTCTGACTTGGTTGCTGCGCTCTTTGTTAAAGCTCTATGCCTAGCCGACATATTTTGGTGCTGAAGACCTAATCTGCTCCTATTCCTGGTTTCTTCTATCCTGTTCTTCTCAACTCCTTGACCGTCGGAATACCTTAAATTGCTGGGACTGCTGGATTTCCTTTTTACTGGAGTTTTTGCTATGACCTAAATCCTATAATAGCTACTGTAATCCTTGCCAAAGCCTAAACCCTATATGGCGTGCATGAAGTTGGGGACCTAGAGAGCATTTGGTCTGATACGCCATACTAATTATGAGTGGAGGGTTTTGTATTTGGTGTATGAGGAGGGTGATTCGGTGAAATTGGGGGATAGGAGTGCTCTTGTTGTTGGGAAGTTGTATGGGGTTTAACAGCGGTTAGGGTTTGGGGCGTTGCAGATGTTGGAGGTTTGTCATCTTTGTCATGGGACGGTGGGACTGGAAGTTAGGAAAGTGAGATGGTCAGTGTGTTGGGGTCGAGGTCAGGAGATGATTGGTGTCGTTCGCTAGTTGGGTGTTGTGAGGTGTTGGGAGTTTTCGAGTCTGTTGTTAGCTATGTTCATGAAGCGGTGTCTGCTCTGGCTTAAGTATCAGTGGCAAGGCAGTGTGGCTGTGTGGACTGTGAGAGAGTGATTGGGTTTTGGTAATCCGACATGGAAAGTAACCTAGCTACGGACCCTTCCTCCCCCATGTACACGGAAGTGTTCGAAAAGTCTCGAGAAGAATTGGCTGAGAGGCCTCCAAATCAGAGTGAGAATGACAGATCTGGAACTAAATGAACAGATGTCGAAGCATTTCTTCGTCAGAATAAAAGCGAACGGTAGATCCAACTCGATCGAGAGACTCAAAGAACAGTCAGGCCAACAGACAATGTGGCTGGACAGTGAGGGGATGCTGGAGGTGACAAAGAGCTTCTACAAAGTCCTATATCAATCCAAAAGGCCTTCTGCCACCCCCTCTCACATCCTAGAAGCTAGATCGAGGATGCTCCAATATCTGGACAGGACTCTCTCAAAGACGAGGCAGACAATTAGACAGCCCCCTAACGATGGAAGAGCTTCTCTTTGCAGTCCGGAGTCTGAATAACAACAAGACCCCGGGGATAGATGGTTTTATGAAAGAATTCTGGGAAAAAAATTGGCCTTTGCTGGCAACTGACCTTATGCAGAAGGAGGGTATGGGAGAACCTCTCAGTCCCTGTGTCGTCACACTCCTTTACAAGATGGGCGAGCGCGGAGACATTAGGAACTATAGACCAATTTCCCTACTCACGCTACCTTATAAAATTCTAGCCAAAGCCTTAGCCTTCAGAATTTTGGACCTAACAGGCAAATGCTTTCACATAGATCAGGCTGGTTTCATACCGGGACGATATATTCTCGGTAATGTCATGACCCTAAATGAGGCTTCAAAGAAAATTACAGAAAAGAAGATCAATTCCGCAATTCTATTTTTCGACTTCGAAAAGGCATAGAATCAGGTGGATTGGACTTTCCTAGACGCGAGATTGAAAAAGATGGGGTTGGGCCTAAATTTCAGAAAAGGGGTTAGAATCTAGGCTGGTCCCCGGGCCGCCCGGCGGCCTGGTCGTCGCCCGGGGGAGGGGCTGGGCCGCCTGGCCAGTTGTCGCGCCCGGTTGGCCATCGGGTGCCCCCAGCACATCACTGTAGGTAAGGGTTTTTTTTTTTTTTCCGGCGCTGGGGCCCTTTTCGCCCCCATCCTAGACTGTGTAGACACCAAAAAAAAAAAAAAAAACCGGGCTGGTAGGCCCGATTTCACCGATTTGAAATCGGGCCCGATCTTGATCGTTGATCTCAGAGATCGACGGCCCAGATGGCCGCGATTTCAAATCGGTGAGGGCGGGAACTACAGTTTGGTCCTGCTCCTGAGTGTCGTTATAGAGGATTCTCACCTATTTCCAAAAGTTTGGTCCTGCTCCCATTTTCTCCATACAGGTTTGTAGGAAATCCCAGTTGACTTGGTCGTAAGCCTTCATTTTCCTTCTCTTCTTTTCTTTTTAAGCCTAGGGTGTTGTATAGGCGAAGGACCAGACCCACGGTGATCTCTGGCAGCGGCAGCCGATGGTTGTCTTGACAGTATAGGCCACCTTCCCTACCCTTCCCCGCGTTCATACTCCCAACGCACCCCCTGTCCTTACAATCCTACCTCAGTGTGACCAGCACTCAAGAATATCAGCCTACCAGTATCGAGGGCGTTCTCAAAGTTGAAAAAAAGTATTGCTGCAATGATTCGTGGGTAATCAGCCTGGTGAACTCACAGAGTGTCACATGCCAAGTGGCGCAGACCAGACCCAAGAACCGACCTCTCACAGATGGAGTAAGGATAGCACAGCAGAAGACTGAAATACCAATAATCAGACCCAATCAATGTCGTTACACAGACCGAACACCATCATCAGCATCATTACATGGTGTGAGGGGGACTTGGCACTATAACACACAGACGAAACTCCAGGCACCAACATACATGGATGAGGAGGGAGGAGAGACAAAGAGGGGGAAGAAAGGAGAGATGTCGCCAACCCAAAATGTCGTCGATACCGATCCCAAAATAGTCCCCCGCAATGTCGCTGCTCATATGTCAAGTCTAAATCTCAATGTCACCAAGTCTCAATGTCA